GGAAGTCCCTTTTTCCAAATCAAATATTGAATTTTTTTTTCTTATGTTGCTTCTTTATGCAAATATCAGTTGCTGGAAGCGTGGTTTGAAGTAAATAAAATAACTTCCAATGCGTCTCTTAACAATTATATTGAGCTTGACAATCAAATTTGTATATCAAGCTTTCTTATAGATTACGATATTATTGAGTACTATAGCTCAGAATTAGTGAATCCGATTCTAAGTGAAACGGAAAGTGATGATAAGGGTTCGGTGGATGAAATTGTTCGTTAGCCTTCCAAGAATGTAGTTGAAGACACATTCAAAATTCTGAATTTTTATTTATAAACAAATGATACTGCAACTGATGATCACTATAAGTCTTGGCATAAATTGGAGTCTTTTTTTTACTAAAAATAAGAAAAAAAAATAAAATTCCAAACAATAATTTCTGAATGTTTCACACTTCACTCTTACTTCTGTGCTCTATTTTATTTCAAATAAATAGATCAATTGAAACGTAATTTTAGTTTCTTTCAAAAATAAAAAAAATATAAAAATTCTCTAACTCGAAGAGTCCATAAGTCGAACCTTTTCTTTGAAAAATGATACTTTGCGTTATGGAAGTTTGACTGTATTGCCTTCAGCTCAAAAAGTACCCGAATTTTGTAAATAAAACACAAAAATTTAAATTTTATTGCAAACAGGAAAAAGTCGCACGGCTCCAGATCTGGCGAATATGGTGCCTGAGCGATGACAGTGGTGCCGTATTTGGTCAAAAAATCGCGTACAACAAGAATTTTCCATAGTAAAAATCGCTAAATGCACTTGAGGTGGTCTCACATTACCACCTGCTGTAAACAAACTAATTGACAGATGGCGCTCAAATTTGTACCATATGTCAAGAAAGGGTGTACCAACATAACAAAAAAAAAATTTTGAAAAAAGTCTATTACTTAAGGAGCAGTTAACAAACAACAAAGTCCGGATACTTTTTGAGCAGAAGGTATGTATATGAAATAAATATTTTAATGCCATAGTATGATGTAAATTATATACCTAACAAAACAAAAAATTTGTCAATGTATAAAATATATTAATATAAATATGAATTAAATATTTTCGTGAATATTATGTACATATATATTTTTTGATTATATTTAGGAGCCCACACTATCGTTCCCTTCTAATATCGGTCTTATAGATGAGATCCGATCATTGATGTTAAAATAAGTAAATTTTGTTAATAAAAAATTAACAAAATTTTTAATAAATTCTGTTACATAGAATGTTTATCCTGAAGGTATGTTATTTTTACCATTACTGTACACTCCAGGAAATACTTACATTTGTTTGGGATACTTGTTGCTTTGGTTCGAAACTAATTGTACTCCGCACCAAATGATAGACTAAATTTCTAATTTCTGTTTCTAGACCAACTGTCTTTATTGCCTCCTCCAATGTATTTCGCATGTCATATTTATCAACCGTGGGACTGCAGACCAATCTCTATAGCCAGAAAGAGAACAAAATTATATTGAATAAGATAAGATAAGAAAGACTTACTAATATCTACACAAAAATAGAGACTTACTTGAACTGTTTTATAGATGGCTTCAAAATTTTTCATTGCCTTTATGGCGGTGGCAACATTAAGTGCTGTGTGATGTATGCTCGAATCTTTTAATTTATCCATTTTTAAGTTTTTTTTCTAACACTAACACTTCAATTAAATGTAAACGACTTTTAATTGTTAATAATAACACAAACTTGATATGATTAAATAATTTTATTTTAATTTTTTTCTTCATTTTTCACATTCTATTTGCTTATCACTTTCTGCTAATTATTTTTAATGATTAATAGTTTTATATTATTTTATACATAATTAAAAATAAAAAAACCAATATTTTACTTTATTTTAAAAATAAATAAATATTTTTTTTTTGTTTATTTTGCTTAAAAGAATTTCTTTTGTATGAGAATGTTTCTATTTTTTATTTCTATCGATTAAACAAATGATAAAAGTTGTTAGTAACAACAGCCAGAAAAGAAGAGCTCTACCTGAGAATATTTAAAGGAATTATTTTTCGTTGCTATTAACAATCTTCGAAAAGAGAAAACAAAATTACCTCTTAAATGTTCTTTCATAATAAATTTAGTAGATAGAAAGATAGAGATAGAAAGAGTCTCGCCAAGTAAAGGAATTCTTCCTATATTCTTAAAGCAGCCACTAAACGCAGTTATTTATTATCAATGATACATTACTTTGTCACAATAGAGAACATTATTTGTATACAGAGAAGTAACAGTATCACCAACAGACACTTAACTCTGAGACTCTAGATTTCTGCAAGTTTAGAGTAACCGTTTCTTTATGAAAAAATAGCGATTTGCTATATATATGATTCAAGAAGTTCGTAAGGCTGCTCTTGCAATTATGTTTGCAGGTCACATATAAAGCCTTTCTGTCAATCATTCTCAAATATTCTTTAGGGGTGAAATTCTTAATCTCCTCTCTACAAGGCTTCCTCGAATATTAGCCAAACTTACGATTACCAAAAGTATATATTGAGCCAAAGATTGGAAATATATGTATTCAGAATTGGGTCTTTCAATAACCAGTATACGGAGCATGAATCTGAAATTATCACACAATTATATTATAACTTTATACAAACGAAGTGAACATGAACTTTCAATGCTCAAGTTCCAACTTCTAATATATTGTACTTTCGGATCATTGTTCGCATCATATTTCAAAGTAAAGCTTATGTATCTAAATATTATTAGCATTTTTTAAATTTCTTATATTTATTTTAAATTCAGAATTTAATTGATTAGAATCGGATATATTTTAATCACAATTTTAATACATTCAGGTTGATTTGATATTCATACCGATTTTTGCTTTTTAACAACTTGTGCAGATTTCCCGATTAAGTTACTACTTGTAAATCATTACCAGGACGTTTCTTTTAATAGTTATAACGGTATTTTAGCTCAGATAAGACTTATCTATACCACATAATTAAAGGATGTGAACGATTCATAGATACAAACTATAACCTAAAAACTTTAAACGATGAAGCCAGTGCTTTTTTATGGTGCACCAAATCATAGCAAGCAGTGAAAAGTGTGACTTCTACAAGCCCATTACCTTTGGAAAGATAATCATTATCAAAACTGACTAAATCTACAGCCTTTGAATTGAGCACAGTACGATGAGTGTTCTTCGTAACTATTCTGTGAAGGAATACCTTAACTGTTTGTGCTATAGGGGTCTACTGGCTTTTGTGCTGAGAATATGATTTTTTTTATTCTGTAAGTATGTATGTATGACTTACTGAATCGTACATGAACTTGCATAAATCATGCATGCAGATGGGTCGTTCTATTTGTATCATTAGAAGCATTTTTCTCCAGGTTAGTCACAGTCAAAAACAAAAACTAAAGGGTTGATGCCTATAATAAACGATTGCCAGTTGGTAAATATTTCATAATATTTTTCTCAATACAAAATTAAATTATACATTTATTTATTTATTTATTTATTGCTTATTTATTTATTTATTTATTTT